TGTTGTTATTTGTCTGTACATTTATTTTTATATATGTGTCTAAATGTAGACTAGTGCTTAATCTCTTCGATCATTTTCACTTTCTCTATGATATGAGATTCATTCAGATAAGTAAGAATCATCTTTCAAAAAAGATTACTAAAATCCATGTAATTCCATGAACTGATTTATGTAGATTTAATGGATCTGAGTATAATAATGTAATAGTCTTGGAATTTATCACTTTTCATGGTGTCTAGCTGGTTTAAATTCATTCATCGACAATCGCATATTATCGGCAAAGTTGAAAGCAATTCCCAAAGTTGGTTTATCGGTTAAGTGCTCTGGCGCGAGACTGGTAGGTCCTGGTTTTGAATCTCGCAAGTGTAGGATCGTGGATGCGCACTGGTGAGGAGTCCTATAATAGGAAGAAACGGCCGTCCAGTGCTTCCAGGTTTCGCCCCCAAATGCCCTGGTTCGGCCAAGAGTGCAAAATGTCCTCTCTCTCTCTCGAAATGCTCTCACATGACCACGCGTATATAGCCTCTGTCAGGGAAGTCCTACTCACTGCCTTCTTGTGGCAATACTGTTGTTTACGAAATTGAGAGGAAAGAAAGCGAATATCCGGGGGTTTAACCGGTTTGGTGGACATGACGAGTCCACGTAGGGGAGTTGAAAAAGTGTGATTTCAAACCAACGGTTCATATGGGCTCCAGTATCCTGAGGGAACAAATGGCGTATGAATTAGTTATTAGTTACCGGCTACCATGGGACTGCATCTCCTTATGATGCCCGATCCGAGGCTCGGGGTGTGGGCTGCTAAGAAAACCACCTGCTTCAATTTGGGCACCGACATTGTATTATCAATTTAAATATACTCGTTTACTAGGTTTGATAATATACTAAGTATTACTAACCTCTTCCATCCACTTTGGTTGCAAGTTCCACTTAGTTTGGTTCTGAAGCTGGGTAGTATCTTATTAGACCTCACACTTAAACTGTGACTGAAAGCCAAATACGTAACTATATAGTTGATAAATGATTTGCAAGTAAACCAACAAAGTTAGCCAGCCCCTTTTAATGGATTACCGAATTCAATATTATCTAACCCTGAAAAGTTTGAAAAATACAATAATTGCCTTCTCATACATAAGGTTAAATAATTTTTAGTATTCTTATCAATAATTAATTCAGTTATTTTTAGAGTTTCCTATTTAACTCTACTGAGATGACAGCTACACAGTAGAATCCCAGCCTTTAGATTGAATTGTGACAAAGGGTTAGTGTGACCATTGAAGTCAGTTTAATGTAGTGACTCTAAACGATTTATTCATGTAACCGCATTTGATTACAACAAGGATGTTTGTTCTCAATTCACTAAAGTCTGAATCTTTGTTAGCTTTAATTTATCTCATTGTTGATACTACTTTGTTTGACTATGCACTCCCTTTTTGTGATAAATTTCCACTCTGGATTTAAACCAAGGGTATTTTTGCTTAACACATTTCTTCCTCCGTTGTTGTTGTCGTCGTCCTATTGACTCACACGAATTGATATTTATGTAATATATTTCTCACACCTTCACAAATAGCTTGGTCATAATTACCTATGGTAATTTGTATGAATATATACACAGCTATTGTGATTTGAAGAGTGTCTATGTGTATTAGCAGTAAGTGTCCTTGTCTGTTCAAGTCTGTCTCACTATCTGTTATGTACCTTTCTGCAGTTTCTTTTCACTTCACGCAGGCACCTTGTTGATTCCTGTATGGCTTTAATTAGACACATACCGATGCATATCTCATATATTACTGTTTTATCGCATAACATTCGTACATTGTCTTGTACACAGGACCATCTTGTTTTTCATGTGATTGGTTATGATAATTATAGACGGGTGTCATATACATACATATATATATATATATATATATATATATATATATATATATATATATATATATACAAGAGTAAAGTTAATGGAGAAACAGATTACTGGATTGAATTCGAACGGTAAACTGTAGTTCGTTCTTATATCATATTTTATCTGTTTACCTTCATAAGAAACATATAGATCTTTTCATTTGATTCATTATAAAGCCACAATATATATCAGGTGCTAGTGATCTCACTTGGTAGGTCAAATCAAAATATTTGGATCGTAGAGTTCAAACTTCAAACACATGATATTTTATGTTTTTCAAGTTCTTTCAAGACATTTAGCTTGATAAATGTTTGCAAAGTTTTTGGCTCATTGCTTCTCTCTGTGTGTGTGTGTGTGTGTGTGTGTCTGTCCGTTTCATCACATATACATATCTACATCATTTGCATGTTGTTCAAACAATCACTTACTGTTTGTTTATTTTTATCTTCAAATATTTACACTTCTTAATCAATGATAGATTTGTTCTTTGTTTTTGTTTTTTTCTTTTCTATACAGATCATTTATATCTAATCTTTCCTACCATTATCACTAATAATACTGTTACTATGTTAGATACATTTTTACTAATCTAACAAGTTTATTCAAAAATCAACTAGCAGAAATTTCATTATTCTTTAAATATTTAAGGAATGTAGAATCTTTTTGTATATATCAGTAGTGTAAAGATAATAGTCCATATATTGACCTGATTTTCTTTCTGTGTTTTACGTTGTTGTGTTATTAAAAGAGAAGCCATTTGTATTGCATTTAGAATAAATTACTAACGTTTAATTTGATCATAGAAAGTACAGATATGTATAAGTTTGGGATTGTATATGAATATTTGTATTGGTTGTACCATTAGGATAAACTGATCCCTAGAAGTATGAACTCCCGAATGTTCTGGTACGGCCAAGAGTGGGAAAAGTCCGCTCTCCCTCTCGAAATGCTCTCACATGGCCTCTGCCACAGAAGTTTTACTCACTGCCTTCTCGTGGCGGGATTGTTATTTACGAAATTGAGAGGAGGAAAAGCGAATGTCCGGCGCTTTAACCGGGTTGTTGGACACGGAAAGTTCACATAGAGGAGATGGAAAACCCTGATTCCAAATCAATGGTGCACATGGGCTGGCTCCAGTATCCTGAAGGAACAAATGGCGTATGAATTAGTTATTAGTCACCGGCTATCATGGGACTGTATCTCCTCATGATGCTTCACTACCTTGTGGATTTAATCTTGAGGTCAAAGGCTCCAGGTGTGGCCCCCTAAGGCAACCTCCTGTTTCGGTTTGGGCACTTGGGCAGTATCATAGCCCTCACACAATTAAATAAGTTTTCCTACATTTGTATTTTTTATCTATTAGATTAATCTGTGCTACACTGACATCACGGAATAACTTTAGTCATATTGTTTATTAAAAAAAAAAATGATTCTTTCATCTTCCCTCACTAGTTTTATTATGTACTCGTTTTATGACTACCATTTTGTATATGTGATTTTGATTGTTTACTAATTGGTGATTCATGTCTTATTGTTCTTGTTATCTATCCTTCACTATACAACAATGTACTTTTATTATTTTTGACCTTATTCAGTCTTTTTGTTGACTTTCTTTGTCTTCTCTCTCGGATTTTTTCTTCTGGTTTTTAACCATCATCCGGTTGTTCAACTACAGTATTTGTTAAGATGTATTAGGTGTGTGTGTGTGTGTGAAGGAGGATGATAGATTATGATTTGATTGTGATAATGAACATACCATTGTAATCGTTTAATGATAGAATTGATATTAAGGTTTCATTTAATATACTACTAATTAAGTGAAATGTTAAACTAGACATCATTTATTATCTATCTGAACTAAACTCTTTTTGTATACAACCTAAGAGAAGCTAAAAAAAAATTCGCCAGAAATAAATAGGCGATTGAGGTTGACGAGGTAGGATCTGAAAAAAATGTTATATCTGCAAAATCTATGCTGACCAAAATTCTTTTCAATCATTGCACATGTCATCATTTAAGATTGTAAACATCTGAATTACACCAATTGATGTGGTAAGTATTTAAAAAGCTCGTCTAGCTTTTCCAAACTTGTGATGTCCATTTACTAACGTCGAGAGAGTTATGGTGGGTAGTAGTCCGCTCTGGGTATTTTATCACTCAAATATATTCAGTAAAATTGTCCGTCGAATTAAGTTGTATAGGTAGGCGCAAATTAACCTAGTTGGGGTTCTCGCAATAACTACGATTGGTGTTTGTTGAGTCTGTGGGTGATGATATGGTTAAGATTCAATTGTTGCAGCGTAGATCCATTTACACATCTTAAGCTTCAATATTATTCCATTTTCTTTTATTCTTCTAACTCGTCTCTGCTTTTTGAACAAGTAGTCTCTAGTGTTTATTCTTTCATATCATTATTAGAACTGGTATTATTTTGACTTGCTTGTTTATTCTCTCCATGCTAATTGTTTCCACATCTCTATTAACTATAACGGAGTAGCAGATTAAGTTTAATAAAATGAAAATTAGAAAATGTCATTGTGATTCCTTAAAGAAACTAAATTGTTCAAATTAAAATGTTTGTTGTTCTTGATGTTGTTAATGCCTTTCGTCATAATTCAGGACTACAGCATCAGTGCCTACTACAACTAGTTCAAAGAATACAACACTCTTTTGAGTGAGGAATCTTCTGAATCATTTCAATATTGTGAATATCTGTACGATTTATGTTTATTATTGAAATTAATAGTTACATAAACCTGTTAAATTGACTTATAGTGATTACTTACCAAACTGTAGTGTTTTTTTTCAGCATTTTAAACACATATTCAAGACAAAGAATAAATCCATCTGCATCATCTTGACCGATTCTAAATCATGTCACCGATAGAGCACAGATACGTGAAAGGTCGGATGACGGAAGGATTATCTGTATAAGAATGTTTTGACGAAGTTTAGTGGATTAATTATTATTTCTGACAAATGCGTTCATTAATGATTTCGATAGCTACCTACTTTTTTATCTTTCAATTTTTCTACGTAATTACTTATCTATCCGTTCATTATCTCATTCGAATTATTCTTCTTTCTTCTGTTTTAGAAATGGTCATAAGTATACACATGAAAGTCGTAAACCTCATGCATGTCATTTCTGTGATAAATCCTATAGTGATTCACGTTCACTTCGACGACATTATGAAAATGCTCATCCCGAAGAGAATGAACGTTGGATGTTATTATGTCAAGCAACAAATGGTGATACAAGTGCCTTATCTATCGCTGCCGCCGCTGCTGCTGCTCTACTTTCCTCATCAGCGGCGGCGGCAGCTGCAGCAGCAGCGACGACAGGACTTGATGCTGAATCTTCACTATCTCGTGATGCTGGTGGTGGTAATGCTGACGGTAATTCCAATAATGATAATAACGCTTCATCGTTAGCCATATTGAATGCCTTAAGTAATAGTACATCGGCATCGTCATCATCAGCTGGCAGTACTATTGTTGATTCTTCTGCAAGTGTAAATAAATTGATTGAATTAGGTAATCAAACTGGCCTATCACCAGCTGCATTAGTCGCCCTAGTCGCTTCTACAGGTTCTGCATCGGGTCTTTCTTCAAGCTTACAACAGTTAGATCGTTCTAATTCGTCGACTTGTGTATCTAGTAAGTGACTTAATTGGCGTTCTTATTATTTATTGTTAATTAAGGTGTGTTTTTTTAGTGACGAGTTGTGTTCGTTTTATCATTAAATTATATTTTATTCTTTTTAGCACTTTATGCTTCAGGAAAAAAGTTTGAGTCGAACATCAAAATTAGACAAAAATGTACTTTACTCGAGAGAATACTAAAGGCAGACATACTAAAATGTGATTTCAGCTATGTATAAACGCGTCATTAACAATTGCACTGTGAAGCGTTTTGGGTGGTATGGTACTTCCAGTTTAAGGTTGTGTAGTTATTGCCTAACTCGAACTACAATGATTTCTGATGTAGGAGTAGGATGGAAGAAACCTAAGATCTACTTAACCGTCAATGGGCATCAGTTCATAAAGTGATTGACTGTTGAGTTAGGTTTTACTGTTCAATAAAATCTATCTGAATGGGGTCCTCTCGATTATCGTGACCGATGGTGGACTACCATGACTGATATGGCTGAGAATAGGTTGCAAAGATGCAAACGCAGTTATTCTTCATCTTTCTGTTCCACGAATATTCACTCTTCTGAAATGTTGTTTATTCCTGTTATTTTCTGCAACTACTAATAACTATTACTACTTATACTATTCTGATATCTAAGTATAAGTAAACTACATGGAGGATCTTATAAACTTCAAATGACTTGGACTACTGTATTCACCAATCAGAAAACAGTTTGTTGGTTTAGGTTACTTTTTTATTTAATAAAGGATAAAGTTACAAAGGGTAAGAAGTTTTAAAGTGTATAATGAACTTTATCACGTGAGTTATTTCTTACAGTGAAAGGCTTAGGATCAGGGATTGGGATATGGATTTAGCGTTGGGTTTCATGGTTTGGTATTAAGACTAATATTAGGAATTTCTTCACGAACTGACGTAAACTTTCATACAAAGATTGAGACTACAAACTATTATTGCTCCGTAGCTATATGGTGGATTTCACTCAAATACACATGAGGCAAAATCTGTTTGGTTTTTCTAACGAATTTCATGCTATTCTAAATACTTACAGGTTACCGTTAAAAAGTTCAAAATCCCCTTTTGTCCTTATTTTCTTTTGAAATTTGGTGAATTTCTTATCTTCATTCTGTTCGTTCTAAGTCTTCTGCTATAGTTTGTCTATTGTTTTTCAGCGTCCTACTAGTGAAATATCGGTAACTTTTGCTGAATTTTCACACAGCTTTTAGTCAAGTACAACCTGTTTTTCATTGTGCTTACAATTCCACGCCGAAATCCAATAGCCTTCATCTTTCATCTAATTGGCTGACTAATGGTTGTCCATATAGTTTACTTCTCTGATGTCCATTCTGATAATTTCGTTCTTCTGTAATAATATGGTTTAACAAGTTGAACTGATGCACATATATTACATGTCTTATGTTGCATGTGACTGACCAAACGACTGACTTTGGAATTACCAGAGACCTAAAAGTTGATATTGGATGGAATCATTTTCTAGGGTTTAGATCTATTGTTTCTTAATTTCTTACAAATATAGGTTTGATTATTCTTTCATATATTTCTTCTATCTTTCCTTTTTTTTTTAATTCATCTCCCTACGTTTAATATATCACTACCTTTGATATGAATATTTTAACTCATTTGTCTTTCAACTTGATGTGCTTTTATGAAATATATGATTTTCCGTCTGTGTGCATTATCCCCTTATATTACATTCATTTAGTATTGTTTGTTTGAATTTTCCCATCGATGTGTTAGGACTGCAACTGGTCAGTCTGTAATTGGCATATGTGCGTATTGCCTCGATATAGTCTTAATTCACAAGCATTGTAAACAAAGATGTATAGTGGCTATCATTGGAATCCAGTTTGACGGGCGTTTCGTCGTATTTGTGACTCGTCAGCTGGATGTACCTGCATCTCAGAGTTGATGTTGATGACGTTTGAAGCAAAAGGTACTGGGTTCGAGTCCCAAAGTGTACATAGGACGAAACGCGCGTCCAACTGGATTCCACTGCTATCCACTATCCATATTTGCTTACAATGATATTACATTGTTTATAATCGGTTGATAGCTGACTAACATCTACTGTATTATACTTGAGAATTTATGTTCAAATTAGACGTTTTCAGTTTAGTACCACCGATTTCTTATTGAAGCTATACACTGTAATTCAGATTAGTAGACTAATTTATCATACATTAGTAAATCACCCAATCACCTACTCTGTTTATAAATTATGTAACAACTCATTCTGAATGTAACTAATCTGTTTTAGTGATAAAATAAGTCTGCGTATTAGTTCGTAAATCTCAGTGTAGAAATCATATGATTCTTTTACTGTTATAAATACTAATTACTTCTATATTGCTGTGCATAATGAGTGGGCAAACTATTTGACTTCCAACTATCAGAACTCAAGTCCAAAGTACACTTCATCTATTTCAGTTTACACAATAGTGGAGTATTACTGTCTCTAATGAAAAACAATGTAGCTCAAGGCTGACTTCATGAACTTGTACTTAATCAATAAATGAAATTATTTTATTATTGATTCTTTACTAGATGATATAGAAAGCATATTGATAGGACATCGTCTGACAAATCATTGTTCCATAGTGTTTCGTGTTCAAATTGGTGGCGAAAAGTGTCAAAAGACTTCATTGCATAATGCGGTTAGATAATTATAGAAATTATTAAAATAGATGATTTTTGAGATTGTTTAATTTTTTTAGTTATACATTAATCTTAGTTAAACAACCGATGAGAACTAGAATACACCGGATAGGTGTTCAGTCATCGAATGAATCTTTTCAATGGTGTACACTGGAAACTTGCGCTTAAAATTTAGTTGTCTAAGTTTGCATCCCGTGGTTGATAATTTGAACTATAGAATTCAGCAACCTGGATTCTGACACATAGACATCGATTCAGGTTGCCGCACCTCATTAAAACAGGATTTATTTATTTATTTAAACACATACATATTGGTACAAAGGGACACCAGATACATATGCGCCACACAAAACAATGAGAATGGGAAGAGAAAGAGGAAGATGCTTATATATAAAAGAAAGAAAAAAAATAGGACGAAAAAAAGAAGAGTAATGATTGGAGGGGGAACTGAAATGTACAACCAGAAGACTCTTTCAATTAAGAAAGTTATAACAACTCTTTATAAAGAAATTAAAAAAGGCTACTGCAGCATCACCACTGGCTTCTATTCTGAGCCATATCTTATAACGTCTCTAGCCACTGTGTTGCACCATCTCTCGGACCCCAGCCGAGGAGTCGTGAAGGACCAACAGAAACCAGTCCTTTGCAGCTTTCTTTCATGCCACGACACCATGTCATACACTGACCTCCTCTCCGCTTTTTCCAACCAATCCCAGAGTCGGCAAATAATGCACGACGTGGAAGCCTCTGGGACGACATTCGTAAAACATATCCAAGCCACCGAAGTCGGTGTTTCAAGATGGTAACACTAATTGGATTATCGTCTCTGTGCCCGAACATACGATGCCGAACTTGTGCATTTCTGTCATGGATGTCAACAATCCTTCGAAGACAACGATGATAACGCAGAGAGTTGTCTCACGTCCTCAACTCGGAGAGTCCAGGTTTCAGAAGCATAGAGCAAAACTACTCTCACCGACACGTTGTAGATCCGACCTTTTACAGCCAGACTAACACCACGAAAGCGCCAAAGATGGCCCAGATTATCATAAGCCGCTGGCTTTCATTATACGTGCATCAATCTCATCACTCACGCCACCACCAGCACTTATATAGCTACCTAGATAAACGAACTTCTCAACTATTTCAATCTGCTCAGCATCCAGGGTGAGTACAGGATTAGAATCCTTCCAGTCTTGTAGAAGTACTTTGCACTTGGAGGGTGCAAAGCACATACCGTACCTACGGACACTGATTGCCAACTGATTAATTGCAGATTGCATGCCTTGGGCATTATCGCACAGTAAGACAATATCATCGGCATACTCAATGTTGAGTAGTCTTTCTCCATGCAGCAGATCCATACCGCTATTACTTACATCCATCAGAGCTGTTTTCAGAAACAAATTGATAATTTTGAGTTTGATCCTTGAAATAGTTGTGAATAGAAATTTCTAATGAGTTACAAACTATAATGAAAAAAATATTCAGTGTTTACTAGTTTACAATAATTGTTTAATTCAGATTAATTCGTGATTTGAAACTCTGAATATTATAAATTTTTATCCAAGTTATTAATTATAGTTTTAATAACTCATCTAACAGTCAGATGAAATTGTTTAATTACCTTATTAATCTGTTTGATTGGTATATAAACACGTATACATTTGATTTATTAATAAGTTAAATATGTAATGCCAAGTTCATGAACTCTCTCTGTGTAACACTAGATGATTCTAGATTACGTTTCTTGTGTGGTTAAATTATGTATGCACAATTTTAAAAAGGTTATAAAGCACAACAAGATAGTTACCCAATACTCTTTGTTTTTTTCAATATTAGCTCGATTGATGTCAATCCATGAGAAAATGTTCACTTGTTTACAATGGCTTAAACAAATAATCAGTAATGTTATTGTTTATCACTATCTAGATTTCTTTATCTGTAATTGCTTTTCCCTCTACTTTTATGTCAGACTAGTTAGTGTTGGTAGTAATAATGTTAGTCTGTGTTGATTTAGATCTAATCTCATATAGATGTTTACACATTTGTTAAGGTAATTGCTCAGTAAACAAGTTATTTAATACTCTTTAAGAGTTAATATTGTATGATCGTATGGTACTATTAGGGAATGATGGTAAATCAGTTGATGAGGTCATGAATCTTCATTGACTGAAATGGTTGGACCACGTGTTACGTATAACTGAACACCGATTACCATGACACGCAATGTTGAGTAGTATTGGGGATGGTTGGAAGAAAGTTAGGGGCGGCCAAACCAAAACGTGGCATCAGTGATTGAAGACACTAACTTCTAATCTGAGCCATGT